CCCCCCCCCCTCTCTGTTTTTCGAGACAGAGTTTCTCTGTGTAGCTTTACGCCTTTCCTGGAACTCACTTGGTAGCCCAGGCCGGCTTCAAACTCACAGAGATCCGCTTGCCTCTGCCTCTGAGTGCTGAGATTTGAGATTAAAGGCGTGTGCCGCCGCTGCGGATGACTATTTCTCTTTAAGATCTATAGCTGATGAGCTAGGTCTGGTGGAATGCACCTTTAATCCCAGCACTCAGGGGACAGGCATTTGGAGCTCTGAGTTTGAGGCCAGCCTGGTCTACATAGGCTAGTTTCAGGACAGCCAGGATTGCACAGAGAGACTATCTCAGTCTTCTCTCCCCACAAAGAAATATTTATAGCTGAATTGGCACATGCTTGTGATCCCAGCTCTTGGGAGGTACAACAGGAGGCTCAGGAATTTAGGGACATCTTCAACTACATAATGAATTTGAGGCTAGCTTGGGCTACATAAGGCACTGTTTTATACAACCAAAACAGATCTGATTGGTTAGCTCAGTTGTTTAGAGTGTGTTGCTAACAAAACCCAAACAAAAATCTTTATAACTGGTAGAATGGGAGTAGATAGAATGCCCCTGAAGCCATTCTTACTGTACTAATCTCAAACCATATTTTTAAAAAATGGAGCACTGTAATTATAGCCTATGCCTTGCTCTTCTGAATGAAATAGGGCGAAACCTCAGTATTCTGTAGGAAGCCAGTTTGATTTGATTTAAAAAAATGGAATTAGAGAGTTTTCAAGAAAATGCCATTGTTTTAAATTTCCTGGCAAGCCTCTGCGGTTTCTTCCTTACCTTGTCTTATTGTGCTCTCAGTTTCCTATTACTGTGCTTCTCAGTCATTACAGAAGCCACGTCCTGTTTCTTGCTTCTGATTTGCTGCTTCAAGTCTTCCTATGTGCAGTGCTGAGCAGTGAACACATGTGACCCGGACGCCTCCCATGGTGCCTGTCGCTGGACAGCTCTCTTGGTGTCCAAGCCTATGGCCATGTCCGTCTCACCACCTGACTGACGCACCGAGTTGTCACGGCCCTTTCTGCTCCTCATGAACTGCTCTGTGTCGTTCGTTGAGCATGCTGTATGTGTGTGTCCCTGCCCATTCTTTTCCAGAGTATCTGGATGCCCTGCTTTATGCTGCAGAGCTGCCTTTGGTTGGCCCCGTTAACTCCTCATCTGTATCCCATAGCAACACCTCGGTGATTGAATCCTTATTCTGGTTAGTTACTTGTCCTATTGTATGAGCTGCTCAAGGACGTAGGTTATGCTTTTATTTTGTGTCTCCTAGCATAATGCTGAGTACATTATAGACACCATGAATGCTGTTGAATTAATGCATGAAAACCTAAGAACTGAGAACACTGTTAATTCCATTTCCTTGATGCCCAGCTACGGTGAGTTCACCATGTTCTGTTCTTAAGCCCTTCAAATCCAAAGCCGGCTGCTTTCTTAGAATGTGTCTTGTGCCTTTTTTTTTTTTGACAGGGTTTCTCTGTGTAACTACCCTGCCATCTTGGAACTCACTCCATAGACCAGGCTGACTTCGAACTCAGAGATCCACCTGCCTCTGTTTTCCAAGTGCACCACCACGTCTAACTCATGTTTTATGCTTGTATGGATTAGAAATTCCTTTAGAGATTGCCTTCCTCATGCCTCACTGATACTCTTCCCTCAGCACAATTCGTGGCACAGAGATGGTGTTTATTAACACAGAGTTCCTGCTGTATGGTCGCTGTAAAGATCTGTTCAGTTGCAGTTTCTTCTGTCACTCACTGGATGGGAATCATCAATTTAGAGATTGTCAGGGCCAAGTCAGTATGAAGCAGCAAATGGTGGGCCTGTGTCAGACTGGAGTGTTTAAGTGGTCCATGATTGGAAGCTGCTCGTTAGCTTTTCATTGTCTTGGGTGAGCATGGCTCTCATGACCTCATTATCTCTTATTACAAGAAAAGCTGGAAACAGATTTTTTTTTGGTAAAGTCTCTAGGGAATTCTAAAGCCTATTTTTGGTCCGTTTTCTACCTATTGGCTACCTGTTCCTGGTCTTTGGGTAGAAACTAGAATTTATATATTTAGATTTTCCATAGAAGAATAAAAAAAGTAGAGAACATAACCTGGTTGCTTTTGAGGAAGTTTTGGTGAAAGCTTGGCTCTGGTAAAGTGTCTAATTTTTTATATAGGTAGTAACTTAGTCTCCTGGACTGGTCTTGTAGAACACCACTTAAGTCCTATTCTCCATTCACCTTTGTATTCTGATTTTAGTGGGTTATGAAAAGCATCTTAAAACATTAAACTATGTGTATACGCGTGTGCCCCTTGTGCATGGTATGTGCACATGAGTTGGTGCCCTCAGAGGCATCTGCTCTGTTAGAGTTAGAGTTACAGGCAGTTATTGTCTGATATGGGTGCTGGGAACCTAACTCAGGTCCTTTGCAAAAACAGTATGTGCTCATAACCCCTGAGCCAACTGTCTCTCTATTCCCCAAAGCAAGTTTTGAAAGATGGTGTGTCTGAGATGTCTGTAAGTTTTGCTCTTTTGCCCAGTCTCTGCTGAGTTGAGGTACATTTGACAGTTCTTGGACTGTAGTGTTCAGGCTGGTGTAGCATAAGGTCCCGGGAGCACTGTGCGAAGAGCCTTGCGTGAACAAACACTTGAAGGAAGTTCGGTGTGTGAAATGATGGCCTAAATGTGGCCCGCTAAAGGGGAAAGTGGTGCATACCCACTGGAGTTGGTACCTCCATGGAACCTTTTGCAGGGCCGTATCTTCCCTGCTGGTTCTCATTCTTCTTGCAGTCCCGGAAGTGCTTGTTTGGCCTTGCCTTCTGGGATTGAGAGTGTTGCTCCTGATGGGATTTCCAACTGAAGCAATTGGGACATCTCTGAAAGAACATGTGAGAAATTGAAATCAGATGATGTCTCTGGATGACTGGGAACAGGGGAAGGAGGGAGACTTGGCTTTTTAATATGCACCTTTGTATATGTTTTCAATTTTGTATTATTGGTGTTAGGAATTGGACCCAAGACGTGTACTTTGCCCTTGAGCTATACCCCTCCCCTGTTATCAATAATTTGTATACATTAATTTTACTTTGTGTGTGTATGAGAGTGCAGCTGCCTGTGTGCTGTGGTATATATAGGGTGGCCAGAGGGTAACTCTGGAGTCCATTCTCTTGCCATCTTGTAGGTCCTAGGGATGGAATTTAGGGCAGTAGGTCTGTGCAGGAGTGCCTCTACCTGCTGAGCCATCTCCCTGGCCTTTGTTGTTGTTATTATTATTAATTATTATTGTGAGATAGCTTCCTTGTGTAACCCTGAATAGCCCAGAACTCATTATGTAGAGCAGGATGGCCTTGAATTCTGCCTCTGCCTTGAAAGTACTGAGATGATAAACATGTACCATCATGCCTGACTTTTTTTTCCCAAAAGATAAGGGTCAGCAGCCAAGCCTGGCCTCACAGATGCTGTGTAGCTGGGGATGACCTTGAACTACTCCTGGTCCTGTCTCCACCTTCCAAGAGCTGGGATGCTAGGTGTGCAATACCTCCCCTGGTTTGAGTTTTGGGGGATTGAACCCAGGGCTTTGTGCATGCTGGGCTACATCTTTAGCCCTCATCATTAATTTTAGAAATATAGCTGCACAGATCTATATGAGGGTTTCCGTATTAGATTTCACTCAGTTTTATTCCTGAGATGTAAATTTCTTTGCAAATACATGGACCCAGTCACTATAGACTAAAGCTCCGAGGTGACAGATTTGCCTTGGAGTTTGTCATTCAGGGGCCTTTGGAAATGACAAGCCTAAAATATGGTCAATATTTTATTATTTTCAAATTATAGTGTTTGTGAAGGGCTTTCAAACACGTTATTTTAGAAAAGACTTACAAATATATGCTATTTTATCTGACCCTTAGAGCGTCTTTCTTTTATTATAGTAAAAAAAAAAAATAGGTTTTGTAGAGTCTTCAGGACACATAGCTACAACGTTAGTGCTGTGACTGGCCAGGCATCCTTTGTGCTTCATTCTTGTGGTTGGTCAGCTTATTTTTCTGTGTTTCCAGAGCTGTTTCAGCTGGGGCAGGAGTAGAAGCCTCATGCTGTATTCCTGCTTTTATTTCCAGCTTTCCTGGTTCAGGACTCTTAAGTTCCATTGGCCCCTGGAAGAGGAGGAGGTCAGCAGTCTGTTCCTTTATTTTCAGGACGAGGTCCACTAAGGCTGGGCTGCAGTAGTGTCTTTAGGGGGATTTGAATTGACAGCCTGCTTTCCTAGTCTTTGCTGAGACTTCCTGCTGCTGTGGGGGAGAGGGCTCTGTCTCTAGGTTGCAGATCTCTTTAGCAAAGAAGTGAGTGTGGAGGAGAATTGGAAGGGCTCATGCAGTCCTTGGGTTTGCTGATTTAGTGCTCCACAACCCAGAGAGAGTAAACACAGGAAAGTGTGCGAGATGGGTTTGGATTGATATCCTGCAGCATATGGCTTGGCATGTAGGACAGTCCTCGGAGACCCTCCTCCCTCTCCACAGCTTTCCTTGGCTGGGGAGCCTCTTCCCGTAGGTCTTTCCAGCAGCTGTGGTACACCTGGGTGAATCCTCAGCTTCCTAAGCTTCAAAAAGAAACCCAGATTTAAATGATGGAAGTCCTTCTAGAGAAGGCAAAATAGACGACCACCCTCAGACAGTTTGAGTCCTCCTTTGCTGCCCCTGAGTTTGTGCAGGATGCTTTACCTCCGTTAGAAACACTGGTTTATCTTTACTGATGGGCTCTCGAGAAATAATCATCATAAATGACCCTGACCTTCAGAACTCGGCCACTCCTCAGGTCAAGGGTGTGATGGTCTCTGGAAACTCTGGGGATGCACGAGCACCATGATGAGAGGGCTCATTTATTTCTAAGGCCCAAGCAGACATCCCTGCCATGTAACCTCTGCTCTTTCTACTTGAATCAGAGTTTAAAGCTTTCAAAGTTCATTCTGTGACATAGCTGGGAGCTGGGGAGGTTCCTTTTCAATCTTGGAAGAAAATTTGTTGGGGCTTGTAGAGGTCATTTGTGTGTGTGTGTGTGTGTGTGTGTGTGTGTGTGTGTGTGTTGTGTGTGCTGGTACATGTGTGTAAGGGTGCATGTGCCTGTGGATGCCAGGGGTTACCCTCAGCTGTTATCGGAAGTA